AGCTAGACAATGTCAACTTAGAGAGTACATTTAAATTCAAGAAGCATTTATTAAGCTCCTACTGTGTACAAGACTGCAAGGCACTGGGATAGAAAGAAAGAAATTAAAACTAGGTCCTGCCCTTAAGGAGTTGACAGTCTACTAGGGACACAAATAAATATGTAATGTATACTTTTATTGTTATTGTTGTTCAGTCATTTCAATCTTGTCTGACTCTTCTTGACCTCATTTGGGGTTTTCTTGGCAAAGATACTGTAGTGGCTTGCCATTTTCTCCTCTAGCTCATCTTATAGATGGGGAAACTGAGGTAAACAGGATTAAGGGACTTGACCAGGGTTGAATAGCTAGTAAGTGTCTGAGGCCAGAGTTGACCTCAGGAAGATGAGTCTTCCTTACTTCAAGCCCACCACAGTATGTACTGAGCCACCTAGCTATTGTTGTTATTGGACAGTTGTGTGTCCTTCATTCTCAAAGAGGACCATGACATCAGGAAGGTGATGTCATGACTTGCAAGTGAATTGGATTTAAATAAGGCAGGGTTGTGCAAAGTCACCAGCCTCACTACATGTAATAATCTATCACTGAAGCCTCCTCACCTGTGCAATGAAGGGGAAATGCATTTTCACATCTCTTTTCTGGGGCCAAAGTTGGTCATTATAATTACGTATCATTCTGCTTTGTATTATTGTCCTTTCCATTGTAGTCATTGTACATATTGTTTGACTGGTTCTCCTTATTTAGCTCCGCCTTAGTTTATATTAAGTGATCTTCTGGTTCTCTGAATTCTATTTGCCATTTCTTATGGGACAATAGTATTCCATTACATCTGTGGGCCACATTTTTCTAACTGGTCCCCAAATAATAGGCACTTTCTCTTGATTTTCCTGTTCTTTGTTCCCACAAAAAACCTGCAAGAGACTCCCAATGCAGACTGGCCCAAGGGAGATGAGATAGATAAGGGGAAATGGCATCCATTTCTAAACAATGCCAAAGTTAGTACAGGTGGCAGAAGTGACTTCAGCATCCAGAGAGGTCAATGGTCCCTAGGTTTGGGTGCTGAGAGAGGTCAGCACATCCTAAGAAGAACTCAGTCACCACTCAGCTGCAACTTCGGAGCTGAAAGCAGTCGGCAGTGAACTCTAAAATGCTCTGTGGTTTCTGCCAGTGTTTCCAAAGCTGTTGCTACAGCAAATTAACATGACTGACCCAATTCGTCCTTCCATGGCATTGAGGAAACAGAGGGCTTAAACTGGGAGTCAACTAGAATTCCCATTTGAGAATGACTTCCAAGAATATTTAATACTTGATTCAATTCTCTGTTGTTACACTATCATTCTGCTTTAATGAAATATCTTTGCTTTGAATTCATGTCATCTGGCTTGGTCTGGCATAAACAGATACATTAGTGGGGGCTCAGAGCAGTGAATTTGAAACTATCTCAGTAATATAATTAACCTGGGCATAGCTGAGAGGATAGTTGCATGGAGGAGGTCCTGGCCTTATAAGGGCTTCTAGTCCCTGATCTTACCCACTGTGTGTTGTTCCACTGGTCTCTTCTCCTGCCTGAGAGACCCATTAGTAAAATGAGAGGGTTGGACTACATATGATCTTTAAGGTTCTTTCCCGTTCTGATATTCTATGTTCTAAGACTCCCTTCAACTTTCTGTTCCAAGGTTTCTTTTTAGTGCTGACAGTCATTGTCCTAAAATTGTTTTCCAGCTCTGACATCCTGTGTCCTAAGGGCCTTCCCGGTTCTGATTTTGTGTTCTAAGGGTCCTCTCAGTTCTGACATTCTGTGTTCTAAAGGTCCTTCCAGTTCTGACATTCTGTATTCTAAGGGCCCTCCCAGTTCTGACATACTGTGCTCTAAGGGCCCTCCCAGCTCTGACATCCTGTGCTCTAAGGGCCCTCCCAGCTCTGACATTCTGTGTTCTAAAGGTCCTCCCAGTTCTGACATTCTCTGTTTTAAGGGCCCTCCCAGCTCTGACATTCTATGTTCTAAAGGTCCTCCCAGTTCTGACATTCTCTGTTCTAAGGGCCCTCCCAGCTCTGACATCCTGTGGTCTAAAGGGCCCTCCCAGTTCTGATTTTGTGTTCTAAGGGCCCTCCCAGTTCTGACATTCTCTGTTCTAAGGGCCCTCCCAGCTCTGACATCCTGTGTCCTAAGGGCCCTTTCAGCTCTGACACTCTCTATTCTAAGGGCAGGCCCAGTGCTAACAATCTCTATTTTTCTCTCTGTCCTAGTCTCTCCCTCACCTCTTTTCTGTCTCTCAGGCTTATATGTTCTCTTTTCTCTTTACTCTCTTCCCATAATTCCTGGCAAAACCCACATCCCTCCGGGGATTTAAATCCCCACTGTCTTCCCAGGGAGGATTTCAGCTAGTCTCCACCAACTCTTCTGATTGGAGTTCCTCCTCTCTGACCGTACCCACCTCCTTGCTCAGCATTGGAGAAGGAGGTTCACTGAAGGGATGGGAGCTTGGGATGGGATGAAGGCTGAATATAGAAAGCTTTGTGTAGGATGGGGTCTCACTGAGGGGACAGAAAGCTTAGTGAGGCAAGAGGAGTCTCTGTGAGGGGGATGATTGCTTAATGAGCGAACAAGGACTCAGTGAAAGTGATGGGGGAGCTCAGTGAGAGGACAGGGCCTTGGTTTGAGGCGGGGGTCACTTGTTAACAGGATGTAGCCTAAATGGAGGGGGAGTGCTCAGGAAGGAGAATATGGGCTCAATGAGTAAAATGGAGGGGATATGTAAGAAAACTGGGATCCAGGAGGGGGTTGGGGTTCAGTGAAAGGGATAGGAACCCGGTGAGGAGGTGGGAACTTAGGGGGGCTCAGGCAGATGGGGGCTTGGTAAGGAGATAGGGGCTCAGAAAAGGTGGTGAGGAGATCGTATGAGAGGGAGATTTTGTGTTCACACAGTAACAGGGTTACGCTTGCCCCCCTCCTCTGATCTCTTCTCTTCCTTCCCATCCCCCCAATTCAGTCCAGGCAAGGCCTGTTGCTGAGTGCAGATGAATTATTGATGCCTCCTGGGCTCAGTGGGGTGATGGATGGCGAAGCCACTGCTGTCTGACCCCCCTCCTCCCCCTTCCCTCCCTCGAACAGCCCAGCCCTGGCTGAGAGCCCCTGGGAGCTGCCCCACTGGGCCTGAGCTGCCTTGGAGATGTCCCCCCTCCCCTCACCAGACTCATTAACGGAAGGCCCTGCGGAAGGGAAGCCGATTAGCGGCTCAATTAGCCACGTTCCGCCTGGGAGCTGAGCACCAGCCTCCCGCAGCCACAGCCGGGAGGGGTCAGGCTGGGATGGCGAGCCAGGCCCCAGGCCGCCAACCCCAAGTCTTAGAACATAGCTTGCCACAATTAGGGGGGCTCTTAGAACACAGGATGTCAGACAGGGCAGGGCCCACAGACACTGAGTCAGGAGGGCCCTTAGGACACAGAATGTCAGGGCTGGGAGGGCCCTTAGAACATAGAATTTCAAGGCTGGGGGGGGGGCGCTTAGAACACATCAGAGCTAGCAGAGAATTTTGAGAAAATGTAGTCTTAATGCCCTCACATTTCAGAAATAGGTCCATTTGAGAAGAAAAAGAGTTCTTCCCAAGGTCAAATAGCAAACTAGTGGAAAAGCCAATTTCAAGGTCTCTCCATCTCTAGTGAAGGATTCTTCCTACTATACCAAGCTGTCTTCTCTCCAAAAATGCTGATGGCATCATCTACTTTGCAGCCTCCCATCGATCTCCTGTCCCTTCCAGGGGCATTACTGACCCTAACCATCCTCCTTTCCAGTCCCTCATCCCCACCACCTTTCTGGATGGATCTGGCTCATAAAGCTTTGGCCAGGAAAATGTAGCCCCTGGACGATGGAGGTGCCTGGGATGTGGAGCTCGGAGTGCCATGGTCAGATGTGAACACCTGCTGGAACTTGTCTCCAGGATGGATTGACTTCATGTCAGCTGACAGGGAAAGCTGCTTGTTGGGCCAGGGCAGAGGAAGGCAGAGAGGTGGGGATTGGAGGGAGAACCTGCCTGCAAGAGGATCAGACCCCAGAGGGTGGAGAAGTTGGAGGCTGGGTATCTGGAAATTTCAGACACAGGAAGGGAAAGAACCAAACAGCTCTTAATTAGGTTGGCTAAGGGCTCCATCAGGAACCATCCCTCCTCCTAACATTGAGACCATCAGCTTGCCTACAACATTCCGGCTACGACAGAGCATAGCCATCATTCCAAGGGAGGTTGTGGGTGGGAAATGGGGGGTGGGGTGAGAGGAAAGGCTGATGGCACCATTCGAGAGAGGCCTTCTTTCCCAGAATCTTTTTCTGTAAGTGACTACACAAGATCCTGGTTTCTCTGTAAAGATTCTCAAAGATCAGAGTTGGAAGGAACTGGTGAGAAAATATGAAAGGTATAAAGTAACTCCACAGAATCAGGACCTGAAGGGGTTGGGGATATCGCCTAGTCTAATCCTGCCTCCCCATTTTATAGAGGCAAACATTGAGGCCCAGAGAGTGGAAGACTTCTCCAAGGTCCAAGGAGGGGTAAGGACAGATTCAAAGCAAGAATCCCGAGCCACCGAAGGCAAAGAACAGAGCCAGAGGTCTGTTGAAGGGTGGAGGCCATTGGTAGCCAGGCCTCTTAAGAGACCTTGGAGAGCTCTCTTAATTGGACAGCCCCAAGCGTCTGCAGAGCCTCAGGCCCACCAGGCAGAGTGGGCAGGGAGGGCGAATAGGCCAAACCAGTTCAACAGAAAGATGAGGAAGAGAACCTTTAAATGTGTACACAAGCTGCCAGAGAACTGGAGCCCTCTAACCACAGCACAGGCTACCTCAAGTGAGAGCAGAGTTGCCCATCCAGAGGTATGTGAGCAGAAGCTCAGTCTGAGGCTGCACAGGACAGGTAGCTTAGCTTGGAGGTCCCACACACAGCCCCTGGGGCTCACAGGGGAAGCCTAGGCAAACTAGCAGGCTGCAGACTCCAGGGATGACAGCAGGAGGCGGGCACTTTAAACCAACCATCTCACATCTTTATTTGAAAGGCACAGCTAGTACAAGCTTAGTATACAGTGTCTCCATTCCTCCTCTGTATTAGGTTAATGAACACCAGAAGCTGACAAGTTTATCTAAAGGACTATATACAAACACGAAATTGGGGGGAAGGGAAATGGGGCTTTTTTTTTTTTTTTTGGTGAATTTTTTTTTTGTTTCTTCTTTTTAAAAGACAGGCTAGCAGACTGAAAGAAAACCAGACAAATGTGGTACCCTCATCTTTATTTGTGGGCATGGGGTGGGGGAGGAAGCAGGTCCCCCAAGCCCTCTCCACCCAGCCTCCCCTCGCCTACTGCTGAGCTCTCTCCCAGTGCCTGGCCCAAAGCAACGGGGCTCAGGTCCCAGGTTAGGTGGTGATGGAGCAGAGCCTGGGAGGAGTCAGGCAGGCAAATGGCAGGAGGGAGGAAAGGAGGAGAGGAACAAGGTAGAGCCTCTACATGGGGGGATGGAGGGGAGGAACCCGGGGCCGGCTGGCATCCGTGATTGCATGCAGTACCAGGAGGGGACTGGGGAACTGCTGTGCTGGGTGCGCAGCAAACAGGCCGAACGGGGGGAGCGGGGAAAGGGGGGTCGGTTACATATGTGCACAGGGAAGGGGGGGAGGCGCGCTTGGAGCTAAGGTGGGTTCATTCTTTTATTCCCTTCCGACCCGGTCCGGTCCCATTCACACCCCAAGGGATTTAGGGGAAGGGGTAAGGGGCTGGCAGGGGGCAGGGGAGCGGTCAAAGCTATGGAGCTGGGGGCAACGTCTTAGATGGGCCAGCTGGCACTGAGGTGCCAGGGTGCCAGCAGCCACCATAAATACCAAGCTTTTTCCCCCACTCCCGGTGCTGTGCCTCTAATCTGACTTGTCACCATCGTCGTCCTGATGGGCATCCCCATCATGCCCGTTCTTATCCTCCTTAGAGAGGTGGGCCTGAGAGCCCAGGGCAGAAAGGGAGAGGAGGCCAGTGCCTGCGCTGACAGCTGGCAGCGATGGAGGCTGCAGGCCCACGGGCAGCGGAGTCAGGGGCAAGGCCAGGGCCTGGAGCTGGGACAGCTGGTGAGCCTGGAGCTGCTGCTGCAGGAAAGGAAGGAAGGAGATAAGGACAGGAAGAAAACAGGGAAAAACAAAAATCCTTACAAAACACCACCTGGAGATACGTCCAAAGAGGTAGTTGGGGGGCAGGCAATAAGGATCGGGACAGGAGACAGGCTGGTGGGTGGTACTAATCTTCACTCTGTCAGACTTCACGGTGTGACTTTGGGACAGGGCCTTCCCTGCCCTGGGTCTGTTTCCCTAGCTGTAAAATGAAGGCACTGAATCTATGTTTCTTAAGGTCCCTTCCATCTCGAACATTTCAAGATTATCTATTCTAAGGGCCCTTCTAGCCCTGGTAGTCTGCCCTGCGCCAGACAGTTCTTATGACTCACTAAGTCTACGGATCAAATCATCACCTTCTGGAAAGACTGGGAGGGTGGGCAATTCCTTCACTGGTTAAACACGCCACTCTACCCTCTCCACAGGAGCCAGTCTGGACTCTTCAGGCAGCCCCAATGGGTCTCTCTCCCTGCAGCCAGCAGGACATGTGTCCACCCTAAGCCAGCTCCTTATGCCTGGAATGACCTGCCCTGCTCCCATTCCCAACCACTAAACTGTCCCCCTCCTACCAGGCCCCTCAGCTGCCCCCTTCCTAAACCCCTATCCCCAAGAAGAAGAGATCTTCTCCCTCTGGCTCTCTTCTGTGCACTGGGGTCTATCTGTGGCGTGATTCTGGGTGTTTTAGCCTCTCTCCTACACTGCAAGAAAGCAGGAGACCACAGACTGGAAACTGGGCACTCAGTCTAATCCTGTTTTCAAAGGCTCACAGAGGGCCGGTTGTTTGCCCAAGGCCCCACAACTCCAAATAATGCTCCCTTTCCACTGCCATCCAGGTCGGGACATTGGAATCTTTTTTGATCTTTATTCCTTCTTTCTTCTCTTTTCTAAGGCACTGAGCATGCAGTCCTAGAGTAAGCTCTCAATATCGACTGAATGAAGGGAACAAAGTCAGCGTGCTTGGCTCCAAGATTTGACTTGGGGGCAGGGCACAAGGTCGCAGTTTTAACTGCTGGTCTGCTAACAATAAAGCATCTTCCTCAGGACAGCTCTGCAAGGGAGAGGACTTAGCCTTAACAGTTCCCTTTACAGATGAGCAAACTGAGGCCTAGAGCAAGAGAGTCCTTGTGCATGGAGACAGGCAGCAGCAGAGCTGGGGACTCAGACCCAGGGCTCTGATCCCAGAGCTGGAATCTTTGGAGGCTGAAATGAAATGCTTCCTGGGCTTTTAGTCGATGGGGAAACTGAGGCCCAGAGAGGGTAAGGGGTTTGTACATACTAATTCAGAAATCTCTGAGGCAGCCTTGGGGTTTTCTGGAGGTCAAGTGAAAATTTCTTCATAGCCCTTTAAGGCTAACAAAGTGATTTTACACCTATTATCTCAATGAATCCAAACAACTCTCCAAAGTGGATATTATTATCCCCATTTTGCAGATGTGAAAGTGAAGCCCAGAAAAGTTGGACTCAGTTCTTCCAGCCTCCAACCCAGTGCTCTATCCTAGGTACCACTTTCTGTACCCAAAAGCTGCTTCATGTGTCATAGGACAACAGACTCTTGTTCTTAGTGCATCAGACCCAGAAGGGCCCTCAGAGATCACAGGGATTAATCTCCAGGTTTTGTAAGCAGGGAAACGGAGGCACAGACTGAAGCAGGGATAGGCCCATGGTCACACTAGGGCACAACTGGGACTCAAAACCTGCCTACGCCTGCCTCTCCCAGAGGCCCACCTCAGAAAGATTGAGAGTCTCCAGAGAGAAGGTGGGGATGGGGTGTGGTGGATGAAAGTTTCTGGAGCCCTCCCCAACTCTTCCTTTAGGTATGCTGGTTGATGGAAGCTGTAGTGCTATGTAAACTGGAGCTAAGAGGCTACCTGTCCCCAAGGTCATGCTTGTTGAGACACATACCCGGATGATGGAGTTCAGCTCTGGAGCAGTTACCTGCTTGGCTCGCTCAATCGCCCCCAAGACCTGTTGTTGGTGCTAGGGAGACAGAAGGGGGGTGGGATAGAGAAAGAGGTGTTAACTTGCTTCCATCTGCTCCAACCCCCAGTCTCGCACAGTGCTGGAATCACAGGATGTCAGAAAGCCAGACGGACAGGAGCCTGAGAGGTCACCAGCCAGCTCCCTGCAAGGACGTTTCCATACAGCCTCCCCACCATCACAACATACCTCTTTGGACAACATGGGGACTCTTCCTCCCCAGCCCCACTGCTTCCCTCTTCTCCCCAGAGCTCATGTTCCTATGGTTAGTGCCTTCAGGTTTACAAAATGCTTTCTTCATAACCTTTGCAGGGTGGCATCACTCCCATTATACAAATGGGAAAATGCAGGCTCAGATTCTAACCCAAGTTCAAAGCCCTTTCATCTCATGACTCTTCTAAGTCCTAAGTGTGTATGTGTGTGTGTGTGTGAGTGTGTGAGAGAGAGAGAGAGAGGGGGAGGGAGGGAGGGAGAGAGGGGGGGAGAGAGAAAGAAAGAGAGAGAGAGAGAGAGAGAGAGAGAGAGAGAGAGAGAGAGAGAGAGAGAGAAAGAGATATCTTGGGCCCCACAGCAGGCAAGATGCCACTAGAAATACAGAATACAAGAGAACCAGAAGGATCCAAGAGTAGATCCACTCATCAGGGACCACTTTGGGATTCCCATGACATCCTTTTTAAAAAATGATACTTTTTAGAACACAATCCCTAATTATCATGCCCCACACTGCAGTTGTTTTACAAGGTGGAAAGGAAAAAAAAATCTCCCCAGCATCTGATGTTTCTCAATAGCTGAGTGGCATTTATAGACAGCCCTTTAAAGTGTGCAAAATTTCCTAACAACCCTGTGAGTAAAGTACTTGCCTCCCATTTCACAGATGAAAAGACCGAGACTCAATGATACATACAGCTTGGTTCAAGGTAACAAAGCTAACAAGTGTGGGAGGCAACATCTGAACCCACATCTTCTGGATTCCAAGCCCAGCACTCAGTCCCCATGCCAGGAAGCAATCTCTTTCGAATACAAAGTGATTCCAGTGTGGTTGGCACAGAGAAGGCATAAAAACCTCAACGTTTGTTGACTGATTCCCTCAGCAGATTACAAATTATCCACTGCTTGTGAGGCTGAGAAAACAAAGTTCTGATGGACCCAAGCCACCAGGGATCTACGTGGTCCCTCCAGCCACCCCGATCTCCAGATTAACTGTTCCTCCTCCCAAATGTCTCTGCCAGGAAGTCTTTGTCATCCATGTTCTGGGTGGGCCAGATCCCCAGATGTCTGTGGAAGGCCCCTGCGAACAGCCTTGAAGGCCAATACCACTTATGGAGGTAGAGCAGGAGACACTTGTGGCCAGAATAATGCTCATGGGGTCTTTACCCAAGCTTCCTCCTATGCTGGACAGCCCAGATACCATTTGGAGAGGACCCGCCTTCTATTTCCCTAGTCACATTAGCATGACTTCACAATTCCCACAGTGCTTAAGAATTACAAAAACATGTCCTGGAAGGAAGGCAGTTATTTACCCCCATTTTATAGATGAGGAAATGAGGCTCAGGGAGGCGGCAGTGACTGGCCCAGAGTCCCACAGCCTGTAAAGGCAATTTTGAAAATACAGTAGTTCTTCCTATAGCAACTTTAATGTTTATAAATGCTCTTTCCTCACAGCATCTCTGCAAGGTAGGGAGTGATAACATCACCATCTTCATTTGAGAGAGGAGGAAACGAGGCAGAGGCAAAAAGCAGCTTGCCCCAGATCACTAGGAATAGCATGCACGTGATATTCTTAGGGTTTGCAGAGCTTTTGACATGTTATCTGATATTCACAACAATCCAGAGAGGTGGGAGCTGTTATTATCCTCATTTTACAGATGGGGAAACTGAGACAGGCAGAGGTTAAGTGACCAACCTAGGGTTACACAGCTCTTGATTGTCTGGGACAAGAATTGAACTCACGTCCTCCTGACTTAGGTCCGACACTCCATCTAGCTGGGATACGTAGCTGGTGACTATTCCCAGACAGGAAACAAAAATGCCAGGGAAGAGAGAAGATGGGCATTCCCCGAGAGTCAGAAGGATGGAGTCAGAAAGATGGATAGCTTCCAAATGCTAGTTGGCTCTCAGATTGTCTCCCCTTCTCCTAGCCCTACCCTGGCCTCAACTTTTTCCCAATTCCAATCTTGCTTCAGCCTTGGTCCCAGGGGACTGGGCCCCCGGCTGATGGGTCTCCGCCACCTCCACAAGTGGGCCACCTAGGAAAGGAATGATTCCTACAGGATTCCCGGGGAAGGAGTGAGATGCTGGGATGTGTGATTTGGCTGCCCTCTGCTGGCCCAATTCCAGGAATCCTGGGGGGCTGTGGCTCCCCTTACCTCTTGTGAAAGGTAGGGCAAGACTTGAGCACAAATTCCATTGAGCCTCTTGACGATTTCAGCCTGAAACACAGAAGGTCTTTGATGATGGGTAGGGAAGAGCCTGGCCTTGGGGGAAGTCGAGGGGGGGGGGGGGGGTCAGTCGAGGGATGGGGGGGGGGGGGATGTCAGGAAAAGGTGCTTCAGATCTGGTGAAAACAAAACCAACCAAGATTCAGGCTTCCCTTAAAGATGGGGGTGAGGGCAGGGACAGGGCCTGAGGCTGAAAGGCAAGTTATGCTTTCTCAGAGGGACAGTGACCACAGAATGACAGTATCTCAGAAATCAAACTTCTGAGGTCACTGTGTGCCCCCACCCCCCAGCCTTCCCGACAGCTCCTGCTTCCACACATCCAGGGACACCCTGCTCCCCAAATGGGCCTTTGCTGACCTGGAGCTGCTCCTAGTGCTGCTTTCAGGTACCACAGAAACCCTATGACTTTTCTCTTTGCCCTACGAGACTCTTCAGGTACTTGAAAACTGGTGACCGTGCACCCTGATTTTGCATGTTCCTTTAGCTAATTCTCAAGGGGCATGCTTAGAGAGAGCCTGGAGAGCACCCAGAGAAGGGTCTGCAGCCCCTGCCACTTGGGCATGGGTGGAAGGAACTGGGCAGGGGCATGGGGCGTGAAGCCCAGAGCAGAGAGGGCTTAATGAGGGACCTGAGAGCTACTTGTGTTCCAGTACTCTCGATGTTCTCCCGTCGGAGGATTAGCTCCGCTCTGCTTGGCCTCAGATGGCAGAGTTGGGAGCAACGTGGGAGATGCCAGGCTAGGCTTCCTCACAAGAGGTGCTCAGATATGGAATGGGCTGTCCTGGTAGGAGGAGGCTTTCTCTGCTCTGTAGGTCTTTAAGCAAGCCATGACTGTGACGGTGTCACAGAGGGATTCCTTTCCATTAGTGAGTCTTGAGGATGGGGGTTTATAGACTCTCAGAGCCAAGGGGGAGGGTAGGTACAGGTTCTCTGCGGAATCCATCCTCTGTCCACCTGATCACAAACCACCTCGGCCTGAAGACCTTCAACGATCCATAAAACCTCCTCCCATCTCCCCACGTCCCGCCAGGTTGAATAAGTCTGATCCCTCCACCCCAAGAAGGTCCTTCAAACAGCTGAAAGCAACTTCCATGGGGGTTGGATCCCCAGCCTGAGGCAGGTCCCTGTGGGAGAGGAGGGGGAGGCCCTCTCCAAACTGTCCCCATCAAGCCTGGCTCAGACAGGCCCAAGGAATGGCCCAGGTCCTAGTTCCTTCACTACAGTAAGGAGCCAGGTCCTCAAAGTGTTTACTAAGTCAGCAGCGTGTGCAGGCTACTGCACTGTGCTAACGTCTAGGGAGACAAGAAAAGGCAAAGCACACTCCCTGCCCAGACTAAGGGAGGAGACAGCTTGCAAATAATTACTTCTGAACAAGAGCTCGAAAAAGGTAAAGGAAAAGCAATCTCAGGTGTTGGGGCAGGGCTCAGACCAAAGCAGCTAAGAAAACCTTTGGGACGACACCCTTTTGGGGGGCGGGAGCTCGACATTCATTTAATAAAGGAGAAGAGATCTTCCCAAAGGCCCTTCCCTCCTCCAAGGTCTTCCTGTGATACCGGGGAGCCTTGACAACCAAATGTCACATCTGGCAGGTAAGGACAGGGGGACACGGACACCTTCTGAGGCTGGCAATCCATGGACAGCCATTCTCTCATTTGATCCTCAAAACCACCCATCCTATGACACAGGCTATCACTACGCCCATTGCACAGATGAGTAAACTGAGGCTCAGAGAGGTGGAGCATACTGTCCTGTGTTCAGGCAGCTCTAACAAGCAGGTCAGAGGGGGGGATTCAACCCCAGGCTTTTCCTGTGCTCCTTTGACCAGACCCTACACTAAGCTGGACGGGCCTAGGTTAGAGGCTGATGCCTCATTATCTTTGCTCACCATGGTGGTCACATATAGCAACTCTCAAAGGCCCTCTGAGAAGCTGGAGAGCAAAGACCTCCACTGAGGGCCTCAGAGATCCCTGAAGCAACACAATAAATCAAATCCAAGGGAATGTGCTCCCTGAAATGGGTAAGAAGGCTGACCAGGGAGCCCAGTGACTCAGGAGGCACTAAGCCATAGAAAAGATTCTGCCCACCAAAACTATGTGGGTACTTTGAGATCATTTGTCCAAACAGATGAGGGCTGGGCCCAAAAGAAATGGTTAGTGAAGTCTGTTTGGGAGCTGAGACTCAAACACAAGGCTCCTGACTTCAAGTCTGGAATCCTCGGAAGTCTAATTTGCTTTTTCCTCATCTGTAAACAAGGCGGGAGAAGAGTCATATTTACAACAAATGGGAATTTAGAACAGGGAATATCAGAGCCAGGAGAGGGGAGAAATGCAAGAAAATAGACTGCCCAAAATGCCAGGTTTAAGGAGGGCAGGATGTAGAAAGCAGAATGCCAGATTTGGGGCAGAGAAGAAACCTCAGAAAACAATGAGCAATGGGGAGGGGGAGCAGGAATGGACCACATACCACTGACTATCAGAACTAGGAGGGACCTTAGCAGCAGCCTTCTGGTCTAGTCTAACCACCTCATTTTGTCACTGGAGATACATGCCTGAGGAGGGGAAGGGCCTCACAGTTCTAAAGCCCAGGGCTGGGGACCAGTGTGGTCCCAGGGAAGCCGCAGACTCCAAGTAGCAGCAGTCAGCAGAGAAAAAGGGGGGAGGAATCTAATTCCCCTATGCCCAGCAAAATGAGCCAGGCCCCTCAGAGTTCAGTTCCAGATTGGCCTAACGGACAAATACCCCTAGGGCTGAGTGCCCCTTCTTGCTGGCCCACGTCAGAAGCAGGGAGAGCCCCCACCCCCATCGCCAGGTGTGTTCAGACAAGGGGTGCTTTGTAGCAGAGTCAGGTTCTGAGGCCACTTGGCCACTGTCCCTGGAGAGATGCCCCTCATCTCCCTCCCCCTTCCTATCGAGGGAAACTTCTCCAAGGGTGGCCAGAGAACAAACCCCAGGGGGCCCCAGGAACAGGGTGGAGGTGGTAACGAGAGCAGGGCTGGGGTGGCTGCCAAAGTGAGTGAGTGAGTGGTTCCTACCTGGAGGGAGGCAGGTGGGAGGGCAGAGAAAGGAGGGAGGGACTGATGGGGGTGGCTACAAACCAGATCTTACCTGTTTGTGCATTTCAATGTTGAGACCATAGGACATCTCGTAATACTGCAACAGAGAAGGGAAAAGAAGCAGGCAACAGTTCAGGGCTGGCCCTTACTCAGTCCCATGAGTTCTGTCCAACAATCACAGACCAAGAGAACCCCAAGGGACCTGAGGACCAAGCTGGTCCAATCCTTGTCTCTCAGAAGGAGGCCCAGCAAGACCAGAGGTCACACACAGCTAGCTCACAACAGAACTGGGACTCATTCTACAGGTAGAGAAGGTGAGAATCAGAGAGAGGACACAGTGACACAGTGAGAAAGACGGGTGTACCTGGGTCATGAATCCCAGTCTCCTGCCTCCAGGCTAGGGCTCTTCCTCCTTATGTGGGGCATTCCTTACCAGCTGTCTGGTACCAAGGGGTTAAGTGACTGGGCAGGGGGGTAGAGGGAGAGTGTGCACAGAAAGCCAGGCCTGAATTATTCATATCCAAGTGCCGGTGAGCTTACCCCACCCCATGTCCGCGCTAGGCGGGCAGACAGCCCAGCCTCCCAGGCAGCAGGGCCCGGGGTGAGCTGGCAGGCCTGCTCCAAAGCCGGGCCCAGCCTGCCACGCCGTGGTTTGGCACTTGGGCTCAGGGCCCTACCCTGCTGCGCCAAGCCAGCAGGCTTGCCTGGGACCAAGGCCAGGGAGTAAAGGCCTGGGGTTTGGCTGCGGCTGCTTACTTCAACTCCTTCATCAGTGACTCCTGAAAACTTCCTAGCTACCCCCTCACCAAAGCTGATTCTAAGCCCCCGTGCCTTTCTGATGGCAGAGGTGGGAGGCTCCCCAGACAGGCGCTGTGGCCTGAATCCCCAAAAGTTGCCTTTGTTGTGCCTGGGCCAAGGCCTCTGAAATCCTCCCCTGGAAGCTCTGACTGAATATCAGAAACATATGTTCCCACCACTGCCGCAGCCATGAGTGTGGGCCTTGAATGTCGCCCTGCTCCTGACCTCACCTGAGGGGGGGCAGTGGGATGGCACTAGCTCTGCAGGGGGCCTGGGACATACCATGACGTAGTGACGCTGCATCTCCGACTTCTCACTGGCCAGCTTGTCACACTCCAGTTTCAAGCTTTGGAAAGAGAAAAACAGGAGGAGGCCTGGCGGTGGGCGCCATTTACAAAGCACTCCCCAATCTACAAAGGTTTGCAAAGCTGGCCTCCAGTTTATTAAGTGTCTTGCTGGTTTACAAAGCACTTCATGGCATCTGGGGAAACTCAGAGAGAATTCAGAATTGGGGGGCAGGAGGGGGGAAGGAGAGACTTCCCCCCACAGGCCAGTGGGGCCTGTGCCAAGGATCTACTGGATCTTCAGCAGGGGAACAACGGCAGGCCAAGCCTCCGAAGGTTTTCCTGGCATCAGAAATGGGTTCCTGAGCGCAAAAGCACCTGATGCTCAAGTAGGTGGGAGGGAAGCAGCAACTCATCCTACAGGGGCACCTCCCCCTGCCCCAGGGGACCCTCACTCCCCAGCCCAGCCCCTCCCATTTCTTTATTTAGAAATCAAAAAAGCCTCATTTCCATGTTATCCGGTGCAATAAACAAGCCCAGTCGTCTCTGGGGGCCCCTCCCAGGCTCTAGAGGGCCATAATCCAGGTCTTGGGGGGAGGGGGGAAGACAGAGGGGAGGAAGGGAGGGAAAGAGGAAGGGAGGGAGAGCAGGCAGTGGGATATTGCTGCTGGGAAAGCCACGTCCTAGCCCCCAATTTTTTTTTTTTAACAGAAGGAAGGAAAGAAAGAGATTCTATTACCCTTCTGGAAAATAATAACCCCTCATCAATTTCCTGGTAACCAAAGGGGGAGTAGGGAGCCTTCTATGGGTTAATCTATTTAAATTCAATAAGCCAGGTGATTCTAGAAGCCAGCAGGGAGACATCTTAAGCTCTAGCCCGACCCAATTTGGCATAAGCTGGGGGTGGGGGGAAGGGGAGGTATGGTTAATCACAATAATTTCATTTCTCTAATGCTTTAAGGTCTCTAAAATGCTTTCCTCAACCTAAAAAGGAGGGAGTATAAAGATTATTATCCCTTCTCTGTCTAAAAGATGGGGAAAATAAGGCCCAGAGAGGGAAGAAGCTTGTCCAAGGCCACAAACCTTGACCTCTAAGGCCTCCTTGGAAAAAGGAAGCTGAATTCACACCCTATCCCAGCCCCATTCTTTCATATCAGGGACTCGTCCCATTTCCAGCCTGGGACATCCCAAAGCCTAGAGTCTCCACCCTCCCTTCCCTGCAAACTCAGCCCTAACGTCCCTAGGCTCATGGGCAAACTTCTGGGAAAAAAGATGAGGCAGAAGACAAGGCCAGGCCTGGGAGCAGAAAGGGATGGGAGGTCCCAACTTGCACTGAGGAACTGGCCTGAGAAGAACAGGAGCCAAGGAACCAAGCAGGAAAGTCATGGGGCTAGAACTGGAAAGGTAGTCTGATATGGGTGGCAGAAAGGTAGGGAAATAACAGGCTGGCTCAGGGGGAATTCGCTCCCACCAGCCCTGGAAGGCAAGGAAGGTTTGGGTCACACAGGAGAGCCATCCCCAGGCAGCTAGCTCTAAGAATAGCAACCTTTCATATTTATATAATGCTCTGCACAATGGAAGGGACCTTACAAGGGAGGCGCTGGGAAGAGAGAGATGGAGGACCTAGGCTCAGATTCCTACTTTGTTACTCCATATGACTGTAGGCAAGTCATTTAACCCAAGGCATCATATTTGTAAAAACCGAGGATGGGGGGATGGCTTTTAAGGTCTTTGCTGGTTCTAAATCTATTAAAAGAGACAACTGATATCCAGGGAGGAAGAAGCGATTCACCAAGGTCACAAAGGGAGATACTGTCAGAGTTAAGGCAAAAATCTGGGTTCCCTGTCAATCAATTCAAATCCCAGAACATAGAAAGGTTTCTGGTGGTCACCCAATCCGTACCCCTGGAATTGGGGAAACCCAAGCTCAGAGATGGCACTTGGCCAAGGTCACACACACACTAGGTTGTTAGCCTTGTCTTTAGATCCTAGCTCAGGATTTTGCTCAAGTATGGCCCCTAATGGGGTAGGGGGAGGAGAACAGGGTACCCGGGCATTCTGGGGCTCCCAAAGCTGGCTCACCTGTGGTACTGTGCTTGTAGGAGCTGAAACTCATCTTTGATCCGGTCACAGGAATCTGAGGTTGTGAACTTTAGCTGCTGGGGCAGGTGTGAGGAGCCCTTGGAGATGTACAGGGAAGGTTAAGGCAGACACCTCCCCCTCCAACCTGTTCCAACCCCAGCCTGAATCCTTTTGGCCATTTGGGGGGGTGGGAGGGGGAGGCTAGAATCAGGATTCAGTGATAAAACTGTTCAGAAATTTTAGCGGAACCTTTCTCCCAGGGCCTAAGGAAAGGATGGGGATGGGGGTGGGGGGCGGGATATGACACTCCCTCCCACCTTCCATTTTGCTTTCAGGCTGCTGGGAGGGGGGGATGGTCGCAGCCCCCAGGCCCAGACTCCCTCCAGGCTGAAGTCAGTCAGCTGCTGCCGGGTCCCTCCCAGCTCCCAGCACCACCACCACCACCATCATCATCATCTCCTCCTCCTCCTCCTCCAGGCACTTCCTGGGCCTGCCTGCCCAGCTCTGCCCCGACAGGGCCGATGTTTACACACTCAGCTCGGCTCCCGCCCCCCCCCCATTTCCTGCTCCCCGTCCGGCCTTCACCTCCCCCCCCACAAGGCCATGCACATGGGGGGGGTTAACTGCTGCAGGGCCACCTCGCTACGACCACCTCACCATTGTTTCAAAATGAAAAAATAAAAAGCCTTTTCCCGATCGCGAACCTTCCC